GTCCTGAGTTTAATTCTGCACTGAAATCAGTAGTTTTATCTGAGTAAGTACTGCCGGCTCAATATAATTGTAACTCCAAGATTTTAATTTACATCTGATTTGATTCCTCCTCTTCTAGAATGAACTGTTGCCTTTAAGTGACATTTAATGTTAGGTTTTACCATGCAAAGAAGTATGATTTACAGCAATAAAGACTCTCCTCCATATAGATAAAATAGCCATAATATTTCTTCTTATGGCAAAGAAGGTTATATATTTAAAATTACAGCAAGGCCTTCAGCAAGTTACATTTCTCTACTCTGTTTTTCTTTGATTTAGATTTACATTAAAAAAATGATTTTTCATTTATCAGTAGTTACCTGTCCCAATGACCTCCAGTCTAAGCTGGCACTTCCAATGTACACATGCTGTTTATCAACAATCCAGAATGATGACTGAAGGCGACCTTCATTATAAGCAGTCATATTCATATACAGCACTTCTGCACCTAGGAGTTGAATAAGATACAAGAATTAATCATTGTCCAAGAATGGAAGGCACCGGCAACAAGCAACAAAGAGGAAAATGCAACAGTTAAGCATTCCAAGTAACCAAATATTAGCTGATCTCAGTGAGACATATCATAGATTTAAAAACAATCTGCAAATGTTGTTATAAACAATATGACTAACCTACTATTTTAGACCTGCACCTGTACCTGTCAATAAGCATAGGTTCAACTTACCAAATGTTCCCAACAAACAAAAGCAAGTGACACCTCAACTAGGAATGTGAACGGGTAACTGGTTAACCATTACGCGGTAAGTATAACCCAGTAAGGATGAGCTGCTCTAGCCCGGGCAACCAGCCCCGTGTAGCTGCCAACCGGGATTAGGGGCCGGCAGCCAGCCCTAAACCAAGCACAGGGGCAGGGAGCTGGAGGCATCTCCAACCCCAGCATGTGAGCCAGGAGCTGGCAGCCAGTCCTAGCCCCAGTATGACGGAGTGGGAGCCCAGTGGGCTGGGAGCTGCTACAGTCAGGCTGGAACAGTCTCCCTCCTGGGATCCTGCTTAGTTAGTTATAACTAAGCAGGATCCCAGGAGGGAGACTGTTCCAGCCTGACTGTGTTAAATGTTAGATTAACCTAGTATTTAACTAGTTAACTGATTAATTATGTGTTTACATCTCTGACTCCCATTATTATTGTTTACTTATTGTCTCCTGTTATAGATCCATAAATTTCCAACAATTGCTAGCACCCACTATGTGCGGCACACAGGCATTCATTCACTCTTAAAGATTGTGTTGGAGGTTGGGGGATGGAGACTAATTACTGGGCTTCTTTATATTATATTGTTTTTTCCAATACTGCTCTTGCAAAAACAGTTTGGGTTTTAATGTTTCATGTAATACAGGTTAATATTAACATTTTTAAGCATCCAACAAAACCCACTTTATATTGTATCCCCTACCTCAACCCCTTCCCCTCCCCCCCCCCCCCCTGTACCTGCTTAGAAGTATGTGGAGCTTTGTAAAATACAAAGTGTTAGTGGAAAAAACTTGTCACCATGGATGAAAAATGCATTTCTAAAAAACAAAAGCTAAAAAGCCCTCAAGCAACACTTTTAAAAAAGCAACTTAAAAACTTATAACTAAAATCTGAACAAAACAAAAGGATCTATATACTTTTGACAAACTGCCAGCTAAACATCACGCAAAATTCAGGAAACTGAAGAAGACTCTTGGGTTTATAGTCTTATGTTCTGTTGGGGGAAGGACAATCCTATTCCTAACTTCAGCATACATATATACACTCCCAAACACATGGAAGGCCACTGGACACTGAAAGAGCTGGACACTAAAGGAGCTGTGTGTGTACATGTAGAATGAAAGGCGGGATCCCTGTATAGATGTGAAGGATTCATTTAATTAGACATTAAATTTAGATTTAGGTTCATTGGCCATTCCTCATACAGTAGTAGCCACAGAGATCTGCAGTGGAAGAAGTGCAGGTTTCCTTACCTTCACCCTAAGTCCTAGTAGAGAATTCCTGTCCTGGGCCATGTTCTTGGATTTTCAAGTATTACTAACCCCCAGACAATCAAAAATCATGTGTCAGGCCTCCCAAAGATTATTTTCAAAGAGAATGACTAGAGAGCAAGTATAAAACATTGGGACCATTGTGATGGTGGTATAATAAGGTCCTTTAAGACAAAACCCCTAATACTAGGGCATCTGGTCACTCCTTTCAAATCATGAGTTATTTTTAAATTAATAAATATTGGATTCATTCACTTAACTTCTGGTTTCTGACCTTTCAAGTGAACTTGTGTCATATTTCTAAACTTCTGTGCATTGGGGTTAGAAACTTACTTTTTAAAACAAGAGTTGAATTTTTTGTCTAATTAAATGGCCAAAGGAGCTGAAGGATCAAGAAAAACACAAAATATGACAAAACTCATGATGAAGTCACAAGAGCAAGCCACACTGGGCAATTTACAGGAATTGGCCCTCTAACCAGAAGTGCACTTTCTATAACCTTGGACGTCATCTGCAAAACTTCCAGGTAAGTTACCTTTCATCCTCGTCTATGCTTGGAATCAGTTATTTTGTGAGCACTTTATATATTGGAATGAGAGCTGCAACATGCTGCTGACTTTCAGTATGTGTGTTAAAAAGTAGAATTAATTCTGTGTATAAACCAGAGACCAAACAGCAAGCAATAGGGCAGATGTTTAATTGTTTCTGTCAAAACCAAACCAAACAAAACCACTGTCTTATATCTGGAATAGAGATTTACAATCAGCTAGCTAACAAGAAACACACTACTGCAAAATGCTAAAATGTAGGGAATTCTTCATTATAAATGGAGTTTTCATCTAATCAATTTTAACATAAGAAGTTTACAGTGAATCAGATTTTCTTCACATCTATCCAATTCCCTGCATTAAGCGGCAGTATAAACAGCTTAACACCCACACCACGGAGGTTATAAATGAAGTGTTGTTTGAGCTGGAGGAGGAAACACTGGTCTGGAGCAGCTACCTACTTATTCACAATTGATTTTTTCTTTCAAACTTGAAAAAATATTCTATCTTGAGCAGAAACTTTCCATGCCAAGTTTACAATAGGAAATTAAACCCCAGAAAATATTAGAAATCTGTAATGGTCTGAGCCAAACACCTGGATTTGAATCCCTTTGCATTTTGGAAGAAGATTAGATGGCATAGGCCCATCTCTTTAAAATATCATTTTTAATTGCAGCCACTGACTCATCAGTGATATAAGATGGGCTGTAATAAAACATCCTATTAAAAAATTGTAACCCACATTTTGCCAATGAGTCTTTCAGCTGAAAACAGCCAACTTATAATCAGAGCAGACAGTATCTCCAAGTACATTAAAAAAAAAGTAATCTCTTGAGAGCATTTATCATCAGTTGCTACACGGACTACTAATGAGACTTTAATTTTTGATGAAAAGAAACATTCATCAGTATTGATAATTGCCTGCTCTCTACAAGCCCTTGAGATGTTCTCTCAAAGTAGGCTGATCAGCTCTTCATGAAAATCCATCATTTCTAGCATGGTCTGCTTCCTCTGAGGAAATTAAATTGGACTGATCGATATGGGGATCCATAATAAATGTCAGGATTGCACCTCAGTCTCAATTATCAAAATCAGTGGGTCTACAAAGTTCAACCAGAAATCAGAATTTGTAAGTTTGATTGCCCACAGAGAATACTAGATTCTACTAAGCCTCAATCATAAAAGCCTTGGTTCACTGAACATACAGTATCCCTTTCAATCTAGAGTTACAACTACTTACAAAGCAGCACACGTGCCTAGCTCAGAGATGGACAAACCAAAGCTAACAGATGGGTCACATCAGTTGGTCACAAGTTTGAAATTAGGAATGTGAATGATTAACCGTTTAACCTTGCTAGGTGAGGCTTACAGGTTACAGTCAACTAGCAGGGGCTGGAGCAGCCACCCCCTCAGCTGCCCTGGGTATGGGGCTGCTCCAGCCCAGTGGGGCCCACTGCAAGCAGGCAGGGAGCCCTCCAGCTCAGCTCCAGTTCCTTCATCCATCCCCATTCAATTGGCTAACCAGTTAAACATAATGTTTAACCAATTAACTAATAAAATGGTATTTTTCATCCCTAATTGAAATTTGGCAAGTGCACTAAGCATGACCCCAAGAATACAATTAAATACACTGCTCTTGATTTTCCATCTTTATCATGTCTTTTCAACACAAAGTGTTCCATTATTAGGGGCAAATTAAATTGCCAGCAAAAGTAACATAAAGAAGCAGAGGATGCACACAGCTCTCATGTTGTGTGCAATCATCGTGTACCTCTCACATGTCCTTGTTTTAAATGTGTGCCACTTCTCATTTTTACTGGGGATTTTTGACCCGCCCTACCCCTCCTGCCCTCACACCACCCATTCCCTCAAACCACCATCCAGGCTCTTTTCTACATCCTCTCCCAAGCATGCCCCATCCCTGCTCCTCCTCCTCCCTCCCATATCTTGAACACCATGAATCAGATTATTCACAGAATTTAAGCTCTGGGGAGGGGGAGTAGTGGGGATAGGGTGCAAATCAGGTGATTCAAAGGGCTCCGGAAGTTTCCAGGGGGGCGGAGGGGAGGGGAAGGGAATATATAAGTGCTGGGCCCCCAGTGCACAAAAGGCACGGAGGAAGGGAGCAAAGGACTGGTTGCACAGGCCACACATAGAATCTCAATGATCTGTATAAAGCCTACACCCTTCCCTCAAGAGGGAGAGGTTTTAGACCATGTAAAGAGGGGAAATGGTACAGGCTGGTAGCCCAGCAGTGCACACAGGGGAATTACGCTCCATCTCTGGAGACCCTGGATTTCTCTGCCTCATGGCAACACTGGACCTGGACTCAAGCCTCTCAGCTCTGGGTTTGTTAGAAGGGGTGGCACATACTATGGTTGCCACTCAAATTTTGCCCTTTTTTGCTGTCATGTGAGAGAGGGGAGCAATGGGTCAGTTCATAGTGGCCTCAGCAGGTGATGATGGACACTAATCCAGACTCAAACACACACACACACACACACACAAAAGTTCTGTGGTAACTTTTGCCAGACCTGATGCTGTGAGGGAGAATATTTCCACAATATCTGTTGCTATTTCATCACTTTATCTAGGCCAGCTGCCAGCTAAATTGTTTAAGTTAGCTATAAACCATAAGTTCACGATGGAATTCCAACCATTCATCCTGATCTGGGTCAATTGAGCAAATGAAAGCTCTGCATCACAGCTCAGTCGAGCAGACCAGAGAGGCTCTTACTGCAAGACTCAGAGGAGTTCTAGAATCCCACCATGTTCATGAGAATACCACTCAGTGATATCACAACTTCTTTGAGCCACATCTTCCTGGTAGTAGATATAGCGCAGTCTTCCATGTCCAGAGGTGCTGGAGCAATAGTGGGGGTACTGAGAGCCATTGAATCAAACTGTAAACCCTGTATA